ACTCCCAGTATTAATACTGACACTAATTAAATAAAAGAGGGAGATAAAATTATAGACATTGAAGTTAAAACCCATTATGCCCACTTTAAGCCTGGTAAAACTGGCCTTTTTGAATGTTGAAAACCAATAATGTGGATACCAGATTCAAGAAAGCAAAAGAATCAAGCAAAAATCAGCCAATATTTGACCCTTGCTGTCTAAGGATAGGACCCAGGGAATGATGGCAACCCTCTAAGTGACTTGCAACTCTGAGTCACCCAATCTCCCAAATAGGGAGATCATGGGGACCCTGGAGAACAGGAACCCAACCAGTGCACATTCTGCCAAGAGAAGAGTCATTGGGCAGGGAAATGTCCCCAATGTTTCCAAAGGAAGCCACATATGATCAGTAACACTTCGACCAATCCTGGCAGATAGCATGTCTTGTAGAAGAAAGATAAAGGAGCCAAGAAGCTTCTCACAACTTCTCAAGAGTGACCCTGAAAAATCTCAGGGGGCTCTTTGTAAGTTGTAGATAGGAACAAAGTAAATTTTGATCAACTTGGTCTTAAACACCTGGCAGAAAAGGATAATTTGAGATGTACACTTGTGTCATCCCTACAAAAAGTAAGTAAAATTGGAGGCTACAAAAGAAGGGTTCTTATATGGGAGTGCCCAATAATAACTATACTGTAGGACTGTAGTGTCACCAGTTTGTCCTCAGTTTTAGAAACAGTCTACCAATTGCTTTTGTGGTAATTGTTTACAAAAAAGTACAAAAAAGTAATGTTTTGATGTCTTATTTATTGTTGTCCTAGCATGATTCTTGCCTTATTTATTCCTTGTCTAGTAACCTGCAAACCACCACGATGGGCCTCTGGACAGCCCTGATGTTAAATACCCTTAACTGTCCATTCCCCAATCAACAGAGTACAAAGACTTTGAGCCACTTTTCTCCAACTTTGTCATCTTTCAGCAGGAAGCAGTTTGGAGATGTTGTAACCAATTTTTCCATAGAAATTGACAGTTGGGAAATGTAATAGCTGTCTACCTCATGCTTTGAATATAGCTCTTGTTTCTCTTCCAATTAGGCTTATTTTTTAAATGGACATATTTTCTTTTACTCGTCTCCCTCTCCCCATCCATAACCTGGGGTAGGGGAACAAAATTACCTTTTCCCCATCCTAGGCTGTTATCTGTCTTGAACATACAATCACCATAGGATCCAAGTTATTCTGACTTCAGAGATAGCACCAAAATATCTAAGAAATAGATATCTCCCAAATGAACAAGAAAATCACAAACCCCAACGTGTCATTATTCTCTTCTTTAAAACCCTCTGTTTTCCCTATCATGTTCCTTATGACAGTAGAATCAATTGCACATGTTGTATAAACATGCAATACATCTCATTCTAATTAGGACCCAAGTCTTATGGATACACATGATATTGAGTGAATATCTTGGTTCAAAACCCTCTATTATTCCTGAAGAATAGAATAACAGCCTGTGGGACTGGTGTCCCCAGTGCTTCTCCTCTGCTAACAAAACAATAAACCTTCTTTTTTCTGTTTTCAAAACCAAAACATCATTATTGGATTGGCATCAGGTAACATTGGCAACCTCTGTTCTCTCTAATGGGGAGAATTACAGCCTCTGGGACAAGAGCCTCTGTGCTTCTCCTTTGCTAGCAGAGCAATAAACCTTCTTTTTTCTTTTTCTCAAAACTTTGTCCTAGTTATTAAATTGACATCTGGGACAAGTACTGATCATTCAGTAACAAATGTGGGATTAGTTTTGACATATTTAGATAAGGACACAGTATAATTTGGTCTATTTTATTACCTGGTACGTACCTTTGACCTCACATTCCCTCTCTCAATCCCTTACTCTAATGGTTTCTCTCCTATTTTCATGAGATCCAGTTTTTGCTCCTTTTGTTAACTCTAGTGTCCATATATGAGAGAAACATTTGCTCTTCACTTTCTGAGTCTGGCTTATTTCACTTATCATGATATTTTCAGTTCCATTCATTGATCAGTAAATAAGTTTATTTCATTTATATTTATGAATGAGTGAAACTCAATTATGCACTCCCCTAGTTTGGTGATGGATATGTAGGCTGGTTGCATAACATAGCTATTGTGAATTTTGGTGCTATGAACTGATATGCATGTATTGCTGTAGTATGCCGATTTTAGTTCTTTTGGATAAATACCAAGAAGTAGAATAGATAGGTCATATAGAGGTTCCATTACTAGTCTTGAAGGGACCCTCCATACTTATTTTCATAGTGGTTATACTAATTTTGCACTTCCACCAACAAATCATAAGTGTACCTTTCCCTGCTCCTCTTCTCTGGCATTTATTATTACTTATATATTTATTGAGTGCATTCTTGTATTCTGATTGAAGTGCGATGAAATCCAAATGTAATTTTGATTTGCATTTCTCTGATGGCTGGGGATACTGAACATATATTTTTCATATTTTTTAACCATTTATATTCTTTCTTTTAAGAAATTTCTGTTTACTTCATTTACCCATTTATTGATTGGGTCATTTGTTTTGTTTTGGTGTTAAGTTTCTTGTGCTCTTTATATATGCTGAATTAATATCCCTTGTCAGAATAGTAGCTAGCAATAGATTTTTCTCCCAGTCTACAGACTCTTTTCACATTATTGTTTCTTTCACTCTGAAGATTTTTAAAAATTTATTGCCATGCCATTTATTGATTCTTACTATATTATTTACTGAAATTTAGTTGTTACTAAGACTTTTTTCACCCCTCATTTATTGGTGCCTACTCAAGCCATGTAACATACTAAGCACTAAGGACTTGAGTATTGAGAGAAGTAATTTCAACTTGGACTCACAACCCAACTAAAGAGGCCCTAAAATTACTGATTTTATATGTTGAGTAAAATAACAGGTAAGTACAAAAGAGTTAACTATATTGTCTGAAGGGAGACTTGAAAAAAGAAACAGGTAATATTTGCAAAATCTTTCCTTATTTGGGGAGGGGAACAGAGTCCTCCTGTTATGCTCTTGGAGTAATAACATATTAGGTAATGCATATAATGTAACTAATGCATTACTACCCCAGCCTACAGGATTCACTTCACAACATGCGGTGAAGAGTACCATTCTTATATTCATACTACATGTTTTACTCTGAAAAAAAGTAAACCATTATATCCTTTTGTTTCCATTGTGTAAATTTGACATCAACAAAAGATGTTTTGATGAACATAAACAGAGGGAAATGATTACTGTAATCATTCAAATTAACTTATCTATCACTTCACATGTTTACTTTTCTATATTTTGAATGGACATGTGGTAAGAGCACCTGGAACCCACACTTTCTAAAAATTTCTAGTTACAACAAAGTACTATTAAGGATTCATTATATTGTACATTAGATATCTGGACTGATTCATTCTACATAAGTACAATTTAAAACTCTATAAATGACATTTTCCCTCCACCCCATTCCCACTTCTATTTTCCTTCACTTCTGTGCATTCAACTCTTTTTTAAAAAAGTAAATTTACAAGTGAGATAATGCAGTACATTATTGTGTCTATATGGATAAATTTTTACCTTTATTTTATTTATTTATTTTTATGTGGTGTTGAAGATTGAACCCAGTACTCCATACATGCAAGGCAAGTGCTCTGCCACTGAGGCACAATCCCAGCCCTATGTGGATAATTTGATTTAGCATAATGAAGACTAGGTTTATATATGCACATATATGTACATCACAATTCCTTTGAATATTTGTTTTAGTCAGGTTTTGCATCACTGCAAACAAAGGTCTGAAAATAACAACTTAAAGGCAGAAAAATTTATTTGGACCCACAGTTTCAGAGGTTTAGTCCATAGTTGTTTAAGTCCATAGCTCCAGGCCAGAAGTGAGGTAGAATATCATGGCAGAACATCATGGGGGAGGAAAGCAGCTTAAGGCATGGAAACCAGGAAGTAGAATCAGGGACAAAATGTAAACCACAAAAGCACATCCCAGTGACCTATCTCCTCCAGCCACACACAGCCTACCTACAATAAACACCCATTTAACCATATCAGAAGTTTAATCTGCAACACCATAATTTAGTCATTTCAACTCTGAGCATTTCTGCATTGTCTGCCACATGAGATCTGGGGTATTCATCATGTCTAAATCATAAGACACTGAATCTATAAAGGGGCATTTGATTCTCTTTGGTCAGGGGGACTCATGAATGTAGAGCACCATCAACTGTCAGAGTAGGGTGGCTCAGGAGTTTGTTACCTGGCTGAAAGTTGTAAAAAGTGGGGGCTTGATATGTGCACAATCTCTGTTCATGGGAAAGTTGGAGACCTGGTTTAATCCTCACGACTGGGTGTGGTGGGGAAGGCAATGGAAGTACCCAATTGCCCATTCAGGCTCTGAGTGGTCTATTGTTTCCCTGCCTGGCTGGCACCTGTATGAAGGCTGAATTCAGTAGCCCAATCCTATGGTAGAAGGTGGGAAAGTGTATAGGAAAATCTCTTCCACAGCACAACAGGAACTTGAGAATTATTGCTTACTTACTCTGTACTAATTGTGGGGACAGGGTGTATGTGCTCTCATGCCTATGTAGAACACTGTTTTATTCTGTTGTCTGAGGGTACTCTGAAAAGTTGTTGCATTTCATAATGTGAGTTTGAAAACCAGTTCCTTAGAGTGGGAAAAGTAAAACAGAGGAGCTGTATTTGTGGTCTCATTTAGGACAAGCTGAGAGTTGGGTATTCCTTCCTGACTGTAAGGAACTGAGGTAGGGTTTGTGATGAGAATGTGTTTCTAGTTATCCTGTCCATTTATATGCAGGTATATTCTAGAATTTAGGGCTCTCTCAACTAGTTTCTAAATTTCACTGATAGGAAATTGACATATCTGTAGTTGTTTATTCATTGCATGCAAGGGAAGAAATAAATTGATGAGACTCCTATGCTTCCATCTTGCTGAGTTCACTTAAAACCTTTTTATATTCAAGGGGCCAGCCTCAAAGCTGATCTCCATGAATTGTCTCTGATAAAGACTGGAGGTAAAAAAGAAGGAGATTGTCTTGATGTCAAGATGGAGTTTGTAACCAGTCTAGATCCCACTCAAGTGACAGAAGCAGGTATTGTAATCCTTCATATTGCAAAATTATGGAGATTGATCTTCCACAATACATTAAACTTAATAATATAGTGATAACAGTACTGCTACAATAAAACAGAATTGAAATATAAAGATTGTTTGCAAGTTAGTTCAGACCCCAAATGTCTGATTTGCCTTATAAAAGCAAAGTGGGTCAAAACCATATTGAATTATAAAATATGAAAACAATTTCCAATTTTTGAGTATAATTCTCTTTAACAGGTAACAATTTTTAGGTTGTTTTACAATTTCTGTTTTTAAAAACTTATATAGTTTTTAGAACCAGTTCTTCTGAAATAAGCTGCTGTGATGATTAGATTCTAGTGCCAATCCCAACATATTTTGAGGGATTGGGGATGAATCCTTAACTTGTAAACCATCTTTGCCCTTATCAAAAATTTTGAATTCATTAATTTTGAATTCAAAATCATACACATTAAAATCATTTTCATAGTTGATTATTACATTCTCTTTTGTGTTGTATAGAATGAAGAAGGCTTCTCTTTTGCATGAATTGTTTACCATAAAATTTGTGCCTGCATCAAAATAAAATGTATGAAGAGTGTTCTGTATCACTAAGCAAGTGAGAAAACACTCTGATGTATTTTTTTTTCTGTTAAAAGACACAAATGTGTGTTGTGATAGCCTTTCAGTTTTTTAATTAGCTGACTCTCAATAATGACAGCTACAATCCTTCTCCCAATGGAGCTTTGAGTGACAGAATAATAAATAACATGGCAATAGGTAGTATAGTTTCTGTGGCTTGTGATGCAGGGAGAGTATATAGAGATCAGAGACACTCAAGGTGTGTGTGAGGAAGATGCCTGTACTTCTTGCCCAACTCTCAGACTTCTAGAGGTATAGTCTCTTACTTTTTTCTTTGGTAAACTGATAAGGAGTTGTTGTTGTTGTTGTGTAGTGCTGGGGATTAAACCCAAGGATGCTCTATCACTGAACTACATACCTGGCTCTTCTAATTTTTATGTTGAGACTTCATCTCCCTGAGCTGCTCTGGCTGAACTGGAAATTGTACTCCTTTTGCCTCATCCTTGGATTAGCTTGGATTACACATGTGTGCCACCTCTCTTGGTCTGGATCATGAAGTTATTCCATTCATAAATAAGAATATTCATTAGCACACATTGTGTAATGCATCCTCAATATTTGCAGAGAATAGTGAAGGTGAGTCAGATATGAATCCTATCCTTAAAGGACCATAAAATGAAGCAGGGAAACTCAGACAGGTAATGAAGTACTGTTTCCAGTAAGGCAGTGGACAGCATATGAGATAATAATGTCTTCCATATCATGTATTATTATTAAAAGCTTCTACCTTGAGATAACTTAGGTTAAGATTTGATGTTCAAGTACCATATGATCTCCTGTGTAGTCAATGTAAGTATGTTTTACACAAATGTTTTACAAACTGATTATGATTAGTTACACAGACTTCTGAATTTAAAAGAAACACTTGATATTTAGGGAAGAAATGACCTCTAGTTGGTCTTCTGTATGTTTTTCTTTCTTCTAAAGGCTGCACCATTCTATTAGACTATTTACAGTGGAAGATTCTTCTCTGATCACTTCTAGGACCCTTCTTAATGTGAATAAAATGCAAACCTTACAGTCATTCCTTTAAATGAATACAGTGTTAAAATTAGTAACAAAATATGTGAACATGCAGTGTAAAAAGCTATTTTAGAGCAACAGAATAAACCTCATGGAAAGGGAAAGAGATACTTAATAAAAGACCTTTATGAATTACTTTTTGATAAAATAAACAGTAATTCAACAAAGAAATGACAAAATCACTGTTGTTGCCAGGCGTGCTGGTGCATACCTGTAATCCAAGCAGCTTCTGATTCAGGAGCATTGCACATTCTATGCCAGCCTCAGTACCTTTGCAAAGACTAAGTAATTTTTTGAGACTCTGCCTCTAAATGAAATATAAAAAGGGCTGTGTATGTGGATAAGTTGTTAAATGTCCCACAGTTTAATTTCTAGTATCAAAAATAAAATAAAATAAAATAAAGGAAGATGGCAGAATAGAGGAATTTACTTTCTTAACTGTTCCCTGGTATGAAAACAAGAAAGCACACAGGCAGTTTATCAGCAAGATGGGTAAACAGAAAAAGGGGCTACATTACTGGAATTTTAAATTGGATATTCAAATTAGATTGGGTAATCAGGAGGTTGGATATAATAAAATAAGGAAGAAACCCCCAGCAGCACAGCTGATGCCACAGCCATACCAGAAGCACAAGCGAGAGTGGTCTCTCCATCAGCAAAATGGAAGTATAAGTAAATTAAAGGAAACCTTAGATGTGTCCGAGTACAGAGCATTTAGATATCAAGGATATTGACCAACTAAACTGAAAGGTGCACTGCACAATATCCTTGTGCGGAACAGAAGCCAGCATCTCTTCAGGCAGCATGTCGAGGACAAAGGAAGGAACGACTTTACAGCCACAGCACAGTGGCCAGCAGGTGAGGGAGCTGATTCCTGGAAAACCTGAGTCTGGCCTGAAATATAGGTCCAGTAAACACACACTGCCCAACATAGAGTGTGATTAAGTGACCAGGAGAAAATCAAACATGGAGAGAGGTTTACACAGGGGAAAACTGGTAATGGGAAACCCAACCGGCTCTATCCTTCCCCCTCCAATTTAGCTGCTTGCAGGAATAGCCAGGAGAGATGTGTCTGGCCAAGAATATGGAAGGGCAGGGGCAGGAGAGATTGATTTTGGAGACTTAACCCAAGAACAGGAAACATGGGGTCCACAGGTGATGTAAGGGACTAAATATGGGTTCCTCCACCACACAAGTGGAAGCCATGGAAGATCCCTTGGGTTCATCATGGATCAGCAATTTCTGTGCCCTGGAAGTGCACTGATTTAAAATCCCTAGAAAAATTGGGATTTTCTCTTCAGCAAAGAGCCTGGAGCCACCTAAGCCTAAACCCTTCCTCCAGGAATTCTGCCAATGGGATTACCTCTCTCTTTACAGAAATCCTGAGGGTAGAGTATCATGCGCCAGACAACCCCACCTAAAATTGCTGAGAAAAGAAGCTGAGAATCTTTTGAACTCCAACAGAAATAATTCTTTAGCTCTTCATTGAGTTTTTTTCTTTTCTGTTTAATTGTGACCTTGATTTTGCATAGAAATTTATATTTATTCATATTTGCTTTTTTCCTCATTTATAGCATTTTTGAAGCCAGTCATTTTTCATAGGTCAGTTTTTTGAAGACTAGGGTATTTGATTAGTATATTTTAGTTTTGTTTTGTATTTTATTTTTATTTTTAAATTTTTACTTTATATATATTTTTTCTTACCTGTTTCCTTTGATTCTTTTTCTTTTTATCTGCTAACAATCAATCTCTATTATTCTCTTTTTCACTCTTCCTTTAATTTTTTACTTCTGTCTTCTGTCTGCCTCCCTCATAAATATTATAACTTATTACTTCTCTTATCTCCCTGTCCACAATTTTAAATTGGAAACCCTTTTGCAAACTTGCTGTTTTTATTGTAGGCGATAACTGATCATATCATTTCTGATTTTAGGGGTAATTAACATTCTAGACATCATATTAGGGATATTTGGCTTAATGCTATATATTGTTTTCATTGTTGCTATTATTTTTCTCTCCCTAAACAATAATGTGCTAGAAACTTTAAGGGACACTATAAGTTCATGGTGTAGAAACTCTATTGCCTCAGATCCATACTGTTAGATTGGTAGACACACAAACAACATGAAAGATCAAGGGAACAAATTACCCCAAACAAACCAAGACACTCTAATAATAGAATCCTTTGACAGCACAGTGGAAGAAATATTAGAGAAAGAGTTTAGAATGTACATAGTTAAACTGATCCACAAAGTAAAGGGCAGTATAAGGTGTGAAATCAGAGAGAAAATAGAGGAAGTGAAAGATTGCTTCAATAAAGAGAGATTCTGAAAAAACAAAAAGCAAAAATTCTCCTAATAAAGGAATCAATAAACCAAATTAGAAATTCAATTGAAAGCATCACCAACAGACTAGATCACTTTGAAGACAGAGATTTAGGGAATGAGGACAAAATATATAATCATGAAAACAAAGTCAAACATAGAAAAAACATATTAAGAGACCAAGAACAGAACTTCCAATAAATTTAGGATAACCTAAAAGGACCAAATTCAATTTATTGGAGTAGGGCTGGGGTTTTGGCTCAGTGATAGAATGCTTGCCTTGCATGTGTGAAACCCTGGGTTTGATCCTCAGCACCACATAAAATTGAATGAATAAAATAAAGATATTGTGTCCAACTACAACTAAAAAATAAATTTAAAAAATTTATTGGAATATATGAAGGCTCAGAGATACAAACCAAAGGAATGCTCAATCTTTTCAATGAAATAATATAAAAAATTTTCAAACCTAAAGAATGAAATGGAAAATAAAATACAGGAGGCTTATAGGACCCCAAGTATACAAAATTACAACAGACCCACAATGCCTAACATACAGAATAAGGACAGAATTTTAAAGGCTGCCAGAGAAAAACAACAGGTCACATTAAGAGGGATCTCTCAATCCAGACCCTCAAAGCTGGTAGGTCTGGAATAATGTATACCAAGATCTGAAAGAAAAATGGTTGCCAACCAAGAATTCTAAACCCAAACCCAGCAAAATTAAGCTTCAGATTTGAAGATAAAATAAACATTTCTATGATAAACAAATAATTCACAACTAGAAAGCTTGCTTTACAAAATATACTCAATAAAATATTTCATGAAGAAGAAATTTTAAAAATGTGAAAATGAGCAAAGTGAGGAACTACACTAAAATCAATCAATGGAGAAACTAATTTAAATTAAAAACCATAAATAAATCAAAATGACAGGGAATAAAAATCATAGCTCAATAATAACATTGAATATAAATGGAGTATACTACCTTCCAACCCCACCCCCACCCCCAGCACTTCCCAGCCTC